CCCCCCCCCCCCCCCTCCCCCCCATTGCCTGTTAACCGTGATACGTGGATGTACTCCGAGCTGAAACTCGGATGTCCGTTTCAGCTCGATCGCAGCGAGTTTATTCGCGTGACGAAGAATTCACCGATGTGTTTCACGGGGACAGTTCAATCCTGTGAAGATTCTCCGCGTCTGTAATTTCTTTTTTTCTTTCTTTTTCGATGTTAACATATACCCGGGCAGCAGAGATCCGTCAGAGTTGGAATTTAATTTCTCGTGGTTATCGATGAAACAAATTGTATTGTAATATTACAAGAACGAACGACGCGCGGGGGGATATAATTGACACCGAAGATTAACAAAACTGAATTGAAGACAATTCTTATGGTTATTGAAGAACAAATATTACAAATATATATATGAAAATGCAAAACAATGCGGTAGAATAAAATCATTAAACAAATAAAGCGAAGAATAAAATCGAGGATTAGAATCAAAATATACACTCACTCCATGTTCGTGACGTTAAAATCGAAGACATTTTTTTTGGTTGTTGGAGATTAAATTGTACCGTAATATTACAAAAACGAACGATACGAAGGTAAAGAATATAATAATTATTATAATCCGCGTGAAAATTGAAGACTTTCAAAGCAAAGGATAAAAACTCCAAAACAAATGTCGAAGATCCGTATAAAAAAACGTGGATGGAGGATTCTGTTTCACGAACAATCAAGTCTCCCGAATCTCGAATTCGAAAATGAACAGATATCGAGAATTTGTGTAAAACGAGGGAGCTACTTCTCTCTGACAAAAAAAAAAAAAAAAAAAAAAAAAAAGAAGGAAGAGAAGTATATAGGAAATATTATAGATCGCGTTGGAATATCATCGAGGGGATGATTAAATTATATTGCGCATATCAAAATCACGGAAAATCTCTCGAACGCAATTCCGTCTCGCGGATATAGTGATTTTATTCACCGTAACGTAAACCCCACTCAAAATCTACGTATCGGGGCTCGTCGTTCGGCTGTCACGGATGGAAAGTCGAAATCGATTATCGCGAACGGTCGCGTGACAATTGATAATAACCGTCGACGCGGGTAATTACGGTTTTGTCACGTTGATCGAACCGCAGGAAACACGTGGGTAATCCGTTGTTTCAGTCTATGCCGGTTGTCTGTTATTTAACCAGAGATTAACGGCTGTGTAAACGTGCGCTACCGCTCGGATAGAAAACCGTATCAACTTCGTTCGTTCTTATCGTCTCGTTCCTATTTAGCAAGTTGATCTTACCACGCCGTGGCTCCAAAAATGTTGAATCTTGTTGCATCGAAGTGCTCGTATTTAATGGCTG